TGTACCTTTGCCTAATTCCCACTCAAATTCGCAGATCCCAAGTTGCACTGTCGCATGAAGAGATCTTGCTACATCTTGACGTTGATCATCCAGAAGCGCTGTTCGCAAGCGCACATGCGCGGCATTACTTGACAATGGTGCAGTCTGCGCCTGAAGTCATCTGGTCGATTGTGCAGCAGGATGTCAGGACTCAGCAAGCATACCATAGTGCTTTTGAGTGGCTGTCGCAATTCCTGGAGCGTGACACCGGACTCCCAAATCTCCAAGGCAATGAGGAGCTGACAAAGTTCTTGCTTGCGAGACCGGGAACATGGAGAGCCGCTGTCAAGAGAGCCCTCAAAAGATCTCGACAATGGCACCAAATTCAAGCCAAAGTTTATTTGTGGCATAGGCAAATATACTCAGAGATGGAAGAGGAACATATGATTGGCCTTCGTCAGGACCCTAGCTTGCATTCCCATTTATGCCTCATTTGTAGAAAAGCGTTTGCCACTAAGAAGGCGTGGTTCCTTCACACTAGTCAAAAACACGGTTACCAGACGATGCATGGAGAAGCTGCGAGGGGAACCGTCTGCTTGTGTTGCGCAAAGTGCTACCCTACTAGGAATGCACTGATGGCGCACTTGCGGTACAGCCCCACATGCTGCGCATTCCTCTGGAGCCAGAGGCAACAGCCAGAATGTGAGCAATCCCGACATCCACAGGCAGTCTGGACCTACACTGGAGCGACCCCAGTCTCGAGTCCTGATGTGGTTCACCGGGATATACGGAAATTCCATGACGATTTGGACGAAGCATTGCATGCCTTTGATATGGATGTGGATGATGTTTCTTTTTATGACCTGTTCTTTGACAGGCTGGTGACGGTCTGTATCAGACCTATGCACTTTCCAGACATTGTAGCAGGCTTCCACACATGGATGCATCAGTATGAAACAACATCTGATTCTGCACTTCAGGACGTGCTTGACCGAGTAAATGGTTGGCTTCGAGAGCAGCCCCAGGCTTGCGACAGCAAGCTCAGCCAGATGCACGTCTGCGCCGAAGAGAAGGTAAGACATGACGTCTGTGTCCTTCGACAAGAGCCCAGGTGCAGAAACTTTCTGCCAAGGCAAGTCGTGTTTTTGCATTTATTCAGCGGGCGTCGCAGACATGGTGATGTGCAAACAGCACTTGAGAATTTAACCATTCCTGCTGGATGCATGATGCTTGTAGTTTCAGTAGATATTGTGGTTTCCAGAGAGAAGTGCGACCTTATGGCCCCAGAGCAGCAGAAAAAGTGGCTTCAGCTAGCCAGGGAGGGCGTCATAGCCGGCGTGTGCGCCGGACCGCCATGCGAGACATGGTCGGTCGCAAGAGAAACACCAGTCCATGACAGCACACGCAAGCGCATGCCCCGACCATTGCGAAGTTTCCGAGACCTCTGGGGCAAGTGCGACTTGGCAGCTCGTGAATTCCTGCAAATCGACACTGGAAACACCCTGATGGGGTTTACGCTCCACGTCTGTTTCCTGCAGGCTCTGACCGGTGGTTTTTCTCTAATGGAGCATCCACGAAATCCGCAAGAGTACTTGCAGCATAAAGACCATGCCGCAAGTATATGGAGATCAGCGATCCTCCGCTGGTTTCTGTCAACAGGCTGGTTTTTTAAACAGCACATCAGCCAAGGACTGTATGGTGCTGCAAGTCCAAAACCAACCACCTTTTTGGTCACGGGAGTAGAGGAATCCAGGGCGGCTACAATTGAGATGGCAGCAAGGACCACTCCCATGCCAATGACCACAAGTATAGGTAGAGAGAATGGTCAGTGGCGCACAAGCAAGCTCAAGGAGTATCCCCCCCGCTCTGTGTGACTACATTGCGAGGCTTTTCCAAAATTGGCTCGTGCGCCACTCTGACCGACGGGTCCAAGATTTTGAATCGCAAGCTGCGTGGCTACAAGAGCTGATTGTACAGGAGGACGCAGCAGTACAGACATTTGGCCCGGACTTTGCAACCTAATTTAGTAGAATTTGCAGCAAGGCGCTGCGCTGAAAGGCACTATGCGCATCGAAAAGTCGAAAAGTCTATTTTAAAGATAGATTACGATATTATGAAGATAGTATATATATATTGTTTAAAAGTGCTTCTTTGAGAGCATATCGGATATTGTCGTAACTCTAGACCTGTGTAGAGATGATTCGAGAATATTAGAGATGAAGAATCTTTGACATGTTTTGAATTGGTTAGTCTCTTTGTGTGGCAACCACCCAGGTAGATTACTCGACAGCAGACCAGAGGACTAGAGACTCAGCGATCAGAAAGCACCTTCGCAGATCGGAAAACATTCGGAAGGCCACAGCGGTTCTTGGAGCAAAGGTGCGTACGTTGAGAAAGATCCCACCAAAAGCATCCAAAAGTCCCGAAGTCCGTTTGTTTGAGGATGAGTTTAGGATGTTTAGGGCACGTCCTACTGTTTTAAGATGTTTTAAGTTGACATAGATCATGCATGGATTTTGCCAGCTGGATGGATCTTGTTGGACCCTCAGGTCATGAATGAAAGTATAGCTCCAGAAAGGCCAATCAAGACGTTTGTGAAGAAACGGCTGGACGGCTACATGGGAGCAGTCGTTGCTGCCAATATCGGTATGATGATTTTGATGACACAATGGGCCGGAGGAAATGCAAATTTTGCTCTGAACGAAGCTTCAGAGCCATGGCCTTGGTTCACCCAAGGGCTTTTCGATGGCTGCGAGTATGTTTTCTATTCACTGTACTTGATGGATGTGCTTTTGCGTGCCTTTGTGCTGCGTAGAGAGTGGTGCTATGATGCGGTGGACGGCATCCAGTTCATGAATATGTTCGATGCATTTCTAGTTTTGATTAGCACTGGAGAGCTGATCATTCTTCCGGCGCTCTTTTCAGGCGGCACAGACTTGCAGACTGACGCCGTTCGGTTGCTGAAGCTGGTCCGCATTGTGAGGACCCTACGGATCATCAAAGCAGTCTCTGCATTTCGTCAGCTGAGAGTTTTGGTGGCCACCTGCTTGGCATCCATCGGTGCGCTGATTTGGTCAATGATTTTACTGGTCGTATTGAAGGTGGCAGTCTCTTTGATGGCGGGACAGGCCTTACAAACATTCATCCTGGATGAAAATGAGGACCTGGATGCACGCATAGAGATGAACACGTTGTATGGAAGTTTCACTAAATCATTCTACACTTTCTTCGAAATCACACACAGTGGATCTTGGCCCTCAAGAGTTCGACCAGTACTTGAAAAGGTTAGTCCGTGGTACTCGATCATTTTCCTCCCCTACATTGCCCTCGTGGTCTTCGCTGCTACTCGGCACATTAATGCACATGGACGCCACACAGTTGCACAGTCCTTCGCAGATGGGAGATGACGGGTGTACCTACCTTACAGAAACAATATAGATAGACATGAACAACATTGAATAAACCATGAACTCTCGACTTCCAGGTCGAAGTTTCGGGCATCGTTTCAGTGAGCGGGCTGAATAAACGAGGCTTTGAAGATTCCATGCTATTGAAAGGGGGCAAGGGATTAGCATTGGACCATGAGGGATATCCGTGACTTCTCCAACCAGTGTACAACGGTGTTGTGTGCGACTCTGCGAGACCTCAAATGTCCCCAACAATATTCCAGCTGGCGGAAAGGCTCAAATCAAGGATCATTCAGAGATTTTTATTTGTTCTTCTTGCTACTTTTTCCCTCTCCCACTCTCCTAACTTCCTTCCCTATGGCTTTCAAGTGGTGCCCACAAGCAGCTTCAAAGCCAACGTGGGCACCATGTGACGCTGTTGAAACTTTGAGACAACAGGGGGGCACTTCATCACACGTCATCGCTCTGTGGGTGAGTTGTTACAAGCTGTGAATGAGTAGAGGACTTGTGCGAAGGAAACTCGTTTTGTGAGTGTTTGGAAGAGCCGGAGCCCAGGTGATCCGTGTGGTCACTGCCCTTTTTATCAAGGAGACCCTTGCGAGTGCAGCCAATGATGCTGAAATGGTGATTGAAGAGAGTCGAAGAATGGCCCTCGAGTATCAAGCACGACTGGAGGAGCCTTCGAGTATCAAGTAAGAAATTGTTCTTGATGAACGAGGTTGCATTTTGTTCCTTCACAAACCCACAGTTTTTTTTAATGTTTTTTTCAGAAGCAATGGTGACGACATCAACCAGAAAATAGCGGAAGCGCGACTGGACCAGTGATGGCTCAGTGTCATTTGCCACGACCTTGCCCTAGCGACCCAAGGGTCTGAAATTCTGATCAAAAGGTTGTTTAGGAGGTTTCGCCTACAGGGCTGAGACTCATAGTCTTTCCAGCTCATTTGCTTCATGCATTTCCTCAACCACGTTCAGATCCGACGATAAAACTGCTGATGGACAAAGAATAGTTCGGCACGGACCGCTAGCACTGTCACCCAGTCTTGAAAAAATATAGTGGGCATCCTTCCAAGCTGGTTGCTATGTCATTAAATGATGACGTATATTGATGTGCGGGGCCGATCAGCCTCGATGCGGGCCGATGAAGCTCATCAAGAAGGTCTAGGTCTAGGCGCATGCCTTGATGTGGCCCTCACCCATTTCCAAGGAACGGAAATTGGAAGAGTTGGACGCTACTAGGGTTACTAGGGGCAAAGGGCATTGCTACTAGGAGCAAAGGATGCTACTAGGGGCTCAATTTCCCTTTTGCAAGAGTTGGCGAGTTTAGGTGGTGCAATCCCATGCAGCAAGCCAATGGTCTTTAGTATTCTTCAGTCATGTTGTTGTGTTTGGGGCCCGGTCACACTGGTCCGGTGGGGTGAGAGTTTTGGGACTTGATTTGAGCTTTCTTCCTTTTCCCCGTTCTTTTCTTCTATATAAATAATGGCAATGGCTTCCAACATACTAGCGATGGCCTCCAACCTAATAGCGTTGGCCTGCACCGCCTAGGAGCTCTTCCATTTGGTTGACTATGATGGGGATGGTCATTTGTCTGCCGAAGAGTTCGTCCAAGCCATGGAGCTCCCATCCGTGCAACAGTACTTGAAGTTCCTGGAGGCCACGTATTTTGGGAACATGGGGATGTGCCTGGAATTCCTGGAAGCCATGCCCAAAGGTTTTGTATGGTTTTGTCATGCAGGTGCATGAGATTATTGACTCGTAGTTTTAAGAGGTTGTATTTTTGTGTCGAACTCGATGAGGGAATTACATGATGTCTCAACATGGTTGAACACGTCCGAACATCAAAACAGCGCGACTCAAAAAGTTAAAAGCATTTGCAGCAGAACCTGAGCCAAGCGCCTGTGTTGAGCAGGTCACTGTCCGGGATTGCAGACCTTTGTTCGAGATCCTTGCTGAGGGCGATGGACGGATCACTATTGCAGAGTTTTGCAAGGGGTTGATGCAGATCAAAGGCCAAGCCCGTGCGCTAGACATTGTGGTTTTGCAGCACGAAAATTCCAAGATGATGGAGCAAAATCACGAGATTCTCACCATTTTGCGAGCATTCAGCCGGAAGTCCCGCACGGCTCGTGGATCTTCAGCAGAGTGCTCACAGCGGCTGCATGGTTCGGAATCATCGTCGCGACTGAGCCTGCCTACATCGGAAAACGCAGTTTCACCAATTTCATAGGAGTCTTTTTTTCTGCCTCCAAATGGACAGCAGAGAATGACGGAGAACATTTGGATGGACCAATTTCGCAAAAGCCAGTGAACAAAATGCTCCGAGGTGAGGCGGAAAGTATAATGTGAGCATCATGTCATCAACAAAATTTTAGGGGACCAATTAAACATTACTTTTTTTGGGAGGCGTGTAGGCCGGTAAGACGAGACCCAACAAGTAATAAGGAGCTAGCTAGTGTTAGCTGTAGGTTAAATGGCCAGTAGGAACCCCTCGCATGATTGATATGGTTCTTAGATTTTGGGGAAATTGAATCGCACAAGTTAGAGAGCAGAAGACAAAAGAGACTGTCACCCTGTGCCATGTCACTAAGTGACTTAAGTGCAAGCGACTAAAGCTTGCTGCAGTTAGCGCTGGTTTGTGTGGGAATGTGAATTCCATGACAGCCGTATGCTACTGCAGAAGAGTTTCTTGCACCACAGCACTTGTAATTTTCATGACGGAGGCCTTGAGCCATCATCTGAGAGCTTCCAGTCGTCAAGTAGCGGAAAAGTGACGCCATTTGTGAGTGCTGTACGTTAAGAGCCTTGACCTTGCGTCGTTGATGCATTGAGCACTCTACAGGTGAATGCAATTGAAGGATCTTGAAAGTCACGGGTGCGGTGTACTGTTTTTTTGAAGGCGGCTGCAACTTTTGCACCCAGATAGGCATTGGCCCGAGCTCTAAAGTCATTTGAAAGAGCCATGCCAGTCCCAAGTGGGGAGAAGGTCACTACAAGCTTAGAAGAGAGCTTGCTGCAGGCACGGCAGTGAAAAGGAATCGCTGCAAGTGGAACTGATCAGTTGCCATAATTAGTGCCAGTGTTGTGGGTTTATGTATGTTTGGCCCTGAATGCTGGCTGTGACAGTGGAGCACAAATGTGTTCCCGTCCCAGCCCATCTCGTGCTGCACAGGCCCTCGATGCCAAATTTGCTGAGCAAGAGAAAGTGATTCGGGAGCTGCTCAGTGGCAATGGTGTGCGGCGGCCACCCCCTATGGAACCATGGTCATTTGTCTCAGAGCCGCCATCTATGCCAGTTTTCCACCATGCCTCGGAGCAATCCGAAGCACCAAAGAACAAAGTGCCATCAGGCCGGACAGTGAAAGCTTTGGGGGGCCAAGGTCATGAGCGAAAAATGGAAACCCGATCCCCCACTGAAAGCTTGTGTGAAAGGGAACCTGGACATGCTGATTGCTGGAGTGGTTGTGATCAATGTGATCATGATGATCATTCATTCTCAATGGGTCGCTTGGAAGTCTGAAGTGGAGCTGAACTTGATCGAGCCTTCAGATTCCATGTTCTCCACGCAGGCCTTTGATGTGATTGAGTATATCTTCTTCAGCATCTACTGTTCGGATATGCTCGTGCGAATGATTGTGCTTCGAAAGGAGTGGTATTTCGACCCCAAGGTAGGTGTGATGTACATGAATATATTTGACGCTTTTCTGGTCTTGTTGAACTTCACCGAGCTCTTTATGATTCCTTTGATCGATCCTGAGGGTACCGACCTGAATACCAATCACATCCGCTTGATCAAGTTCACACGAGTGGCGCGTACTTTGCGGATTGTCAGGGGCCTTTCAATTCTTCGACAGTTGAGGGCACTAATTGCCACCTGCATTGCCAGCCTTGGAGCTCTTTTCTGGTCCTTGATACTACTATTGCTCATGAAGGTGATGTTTGCACTGGTGATAAGCCAGGCCATTCAGCTCTATGTGATGAGCGACGCGGACTATGACGTCCGGATTTTGATGAATAGTTGGTATGGAAGCTTCCTCAGAGCAATGTATACCATGTTTGAAATCACCTACTCAGGACAGGGTTCCCCCCCGAACCGATCACATCAACTTGACCGACTTGACTTAGCCACAGAGACCCTTGTTGCAGTGAGAGTTCTTCAAGGAAGCTTGGCTTCACCTGCCGGAGTTTCCCTAAATATCCCTGAAGCAGCCCAGAATCCCACCTCTAAATCCAAGAGTCTAAACTTGCGCTTGCTCCTTCCCTCACTCGGTCCCCGCCCCTGTCCTGTTTGCTTCTTCAATCCCTACTTGTTTCATGGCCTGTGCACTAATATAGTTAATATTAACCAACTATTCGACCGGTCCTCATGGGTTCCTGGAATATTGTTTTGCAGATATGCTGGGACTATAATCACGAAAGCTAGCTGTAGCTAGCTGGAGTCTGTCTTGCTTTAGCAAGGAGGGTGGGAGCCCAGGACTTGAGTGCTGTTACCTGATCTATACCCCCCCCCCCTCGCGGGGTTCAACTCCGCCCTTCTCCTCCTCGGTACCTGCTGCTGCTGCTTGGTCGCTGCTGCTGCTGCTGCTGGCATCTCATCTGCGCCTGGCTCTTGGCTGCTTGCTGGTTGCTGCTGCTTGCTGCTTGCATGCTTGGTGCTGCTGGATGCTCTTGGCTGCTTGCTGGTTGCTGCTGCTTGCTGCTTGCATGGCTGCCTGCTGCTTGTTGTTTGCTCCGTTTTGCTGCTGTTGCTGTTTGGGGTTGTTGGCTGCTGTTGGTGCTGAAGAAAGCCTATTCGTTAGAATCGAGAGTAGTTGCATTCCCTCTGAGTCGTGAAACGATGCTAATTTCATTATATCCTTGAGAAGCTTGTACAGGCATGTACCCACCCCACTACCAAGAGTACAAATCAGTATGCACTATCCGCTATCCATGCAGATCAAAAGATGATACTTACTTCACACATGAATGACAGAACCCAGTAAGATGTTTGAACGGGCTGTTTGCTTCATTCATGGTAGTCCGCGTTCCATGTTCGAGCGACAGGGAGCATGCACAAGCGTTGCGACGGAGTCTTCGGTCGCTGACACATGTTCGCATACAACCCCTAGATGTCAATCATGCACACCGCTGCTGGCTGCATCGTCAGCATTTATTCGTGAAAGAAACAGATATATCAGATATATCAGGTATATCTGTCTTTCCACGTCGCCCTTCTACAAACACTCAGGCAGCACCTATATGTGCTATTGTTTGAGACCAAATGTTGGGGCACGAAAGACTCTAAGGAAAGCTCACTCTTCCCCTGCTGCTGCTGCTGCTGCTGCTTGGTAGCTGGTGGTGCTGCTTGGTAGCTGCTGCTTGGTAGCTTCTGCTGCTGCTGCTGCTGCTGGGTAGCTGGTGGTGCTTGGTAGCTGCCGCTTGGTTGCTGCTGCTGCTGCTGCTGCTTAGTAGCTGCTGCTGCTGCTGCTTGGTAGCTGCTGCTGGTGCTGCTTGGTAGCTGCTGCTGCTGCTTGGTAGCTGCTGCTGCTTGGTAGCTGCTGCTGCTGCTGCTGCTTGGTAGCTGCTGCTGCTGCTGCTGCTTGGTAGCTGCTGCTGCTGCTGCTGCTGCTGCTGCTTGGTACCAGCTTGGTAGCTGCTGTTGATGCTGCTGCTGGTTGGTAGCTGCTGTTGATGCTGCTGCTGCTGCTGCTTGGTAGCTGCTGTTGATGCTGCTGCTGCTTGGTAGCTGCTGTTGCTGGGGCTGCTTGGTAGCTGCTGCTGCTGCTGCTGCCTTGCTGCTGCTGCTGCTGCTGCTGCTTTGCTGCTGCTGCTGCTTGGCTGCTGCTGCTTGGCTGCTACTGCTTGGCTGGTGCTGCTGCGGCTGCTGCTGCTGCTGCTTGGCTGCTGCTTGGCTGCTGCTGCTGCTGCTGCTTGGTAGCTGCTCCTGCTGCTGCTGCTGCTGCTGCTGCTGCTGCTTGGTAGCTGGTGCTGCTGCTTGCTAGCTACTCCTGCTGCTGCTTGTGCTGCCGCTTGGTAGCTTCTGCTTGCTGCCGCTGCCGCTGCTGGTTACAGTTATTGTTGTTGTGGCTGTTGCTGCTGCTGCTGCGGCGGTTGCTGGGGTGGTTGTGTGTTGCCATGTGTTGGCTGTGTTGGGGTCGTATTGGGGGGGGCGCTGTTGGCACTCTCCTTTTCCCTTGGCCATGGCATGTTGCGATTCCCGGCCAGGCTTTTGCTGCCTAAAGAGCCCCAGCGTTGTTTATTTTGCCTAGCTTTCGCCACCCCCCCTCTGGGCCACAAATTTAAAGGGGGCGAGGGGGGTAGACGGTCCCTTGACGTTTTCGTAAAATATGTTTCATAACAGATAATGTTGCTTGTTCATTTTTTGAACTGAGAAAATCAACCTGCGATACAATTCGACGCAAAAGACAAATTCAAGAACAGTCCCATCTCCAAAGAAGGATCAACGGGAGGATGTACTGTATTTTATTGTTTTTGCCTGATGCTGGAGGTTGCTTGTTCAATTTCCGTTAGGTTTCTAAACAGAGAAAATCAACCTTGGATAGAATTCAACAAGAGAAGAATTGGAGAACTGTCCAGGGTCCAAGGAAGGATCAATGGGAAACTATTTTTGCACGATTCATGTAACTGGAATAAGATAAATCCGCCCACCCCAAACACATGCGGCTTTTGGCAACACTGGCGTCTGGCGGTCAGGGGGCCTCCCTGAGTGGGAGCCGTCCAAACATTTCTCTATAAAATCAAAGCCAATCTCTTGGAACACTTTGGTCCAGTGTTTCTCTAAAATCCATTTCATATTTCCCCACACTATTCTATAGAATCCATACCAACCTTGGCTATGCTATGCATCATTGATTGTCCCATTTTTTACATAAATCTTCATGATGATGAACACCCATACCCTGAGGCACCTCATTCTATACAGAACATCTTGCAAGAGGTTGATATGTGAGTCTAGTTGTGAGTATATAGCAGGGCAAACTGCCCACGGAGCCTGGTTTTTCGCTCTATCATTACAAAATCACGTCCCAAGGTACACCGGTAATTCCGCAAGGGATCCTTTAAAGTACTCCAAGGTATAGTCACGTGGTCCCCTAGCTGCGCCCTAGCTAAGGCATAGGCCATCCTGTTTCGATTTTTTGAACAAACAATGCCTGGAAAGCATGTCGGCTGTGGAACCTGTAGTTTTTCGAACTCTGCTTGCAGGAGGCTGGCCTTTGTTGGTCCGACCTGTAATTGAGATGGTAAGCCCTTGGTACTCCATTCCGTTCTTGCTGTACGTGGTATTTGCCGCTGGCCACAGCAAGAACAGTAAACTCTCTTGATGTACGCTTTCGATTTAACACAATTATTTACAATATACATTAAGTGTAACAAGAAGCAAGTAGAAACAAGTGCCACGCTAGTAGTAACAGGTGCCTTACTAGTAGTTACTAGTAGTAACACGAAGCTATTAATTTTAACTTATACAATGTACATTCAATCCGTCCTTTTGCGACCCTTTTCGCGCGACATCGCAATCAAGCTGCCATGCAAGGTTGTATTTGCAGCCATCCGAATTGTCACAGCACTTTTTCTCAAGGAGACTTTGTCAACTGCAGCCAATGACGCTGAATTGGTCATTGAAGACTCCAGACGAACAGCCGTACAGTATCAGAAGAAATTGGAAGAGCTCTTCCGTCTTGTGGACGACGATGGGGCCACTGTTTTGAGACAAGTATGACTTTTATTCCCCAAACAGTTTACTGTTGGGGCCCTAAGAGAGAGGATAAAAGGCACTGGCCACAGTCTTTGGCCGCGCCCCCCTGAGCCCTGTGTCCAGTTGTTGTCCCCTTCGTGTCCTTCAGTTGTCCTTCTTTTGTTGTCGTGGTGTCCTCCTGCTGTTCCTTCAAGCCGCGCTCGCGAACCCTTTGTCCTTCTCTTGTCATCCTGGTGTGTTCCTGGTGTCCACCTACCCTTTGGATCCGTTTGGCCTCCATTTGCCCTCCTGGTGTCCTCCGCCGGTGGTGATGCTGTAGCCGTCCTTGGTCAGTCTGTTTGTCCGAGCCTCGTCTCGCTTTCCCTTTCGCCACCGCCTTGTTCGGGTATGTTTTCGTGTGGCTATGAATGCAACAGTGATATATTTCGATTTTACCGCCAACATTGGAATTCAAGGAGTTGACGCAACAAAACTGAAACTGTTTGGGGTTTATGCTGGTATAATATAGGTTTGCTTTGTGGTCGTCCCCTCAATGATTGTGTTGAAGCTGACCTCCACAACGGCAAGTTATCAAGAATATGATTCTGGCGAACGACCTGCCAAACCCAGGACGGAAATCTTACACCTGAAGAATTCGTGGAGGCTATGTCTTTGCCAAGTGTGGACTTATACTTGAGGTATCTAGAGATCCTGGGCTAAATTAACTTTAAACTAGGTCCTAGGCCGCTTTGACTACAGGTCCAAGAATTCCTATGAATTCCCCATGGAAGCTGCCCACCAGTAGGTAGCAGGGCTGTGCAGTACATTTCACCATTGCAAAATTGCAGAGTGGAATTTGTGCGGTGCTATCCTTTTGGTAGTGGATTGTAAAAGTTGCATGCCATGTTTCAAGCGACTGAGGATCACCATCCGTGATTGCGGTCCACTGTTTGACATTTTGTCCGGCGAAGATGGTCTCATTACTATCTCAGAGTTCTGCCAGGGCATCATGCAACTGAAAGGGAATGCAAGGGCCTTGGATATGGTAGTGCTTCAGCACGAGAATGCCAAATTGATGAAGGCGTGGAAAGAGAGGTGACGGTGGTATGATTGCATTTGTGGTTAAGTTATATTGCTGCTATGATTGCCTATTGATTGCAACATGTTTAGTGTTTGGTCCAATCGTCCTGCATGAGCTTGGAGGAGTGCATGCGGATCAGAAAGTATCTTGAGAAAGGTTGGAATCGCACATACTCGCAGTGAATGAGCAGCATTCACCCATGTGGTGCTAGCCAAATGACTTGGTTCAGATTGCAATGATTGCAACCATGGCAAAGCCATATTGCCTATATATGCACAATGGACGTGGCCAAGCCAGTTGTTCTCCAAATGTGCAATGTGCTTATGCGAAAAATACATATTGACAGGTGGCCCATCAATTGACTGGCATGCTTGCATGCTGCAGGTTGCTCCCCCCATACAGTGGAGAGATGTGAGTTTAGAGCGGTTATGTAATGTTTTATGTACTCCATGTTTGTCGGGCCATCCGGGTGTCTTGCGACGGCCTCACGGCTTGAAAGACCGGAAGAAGATTCAGGTGGTTTTTGGGCTGCTCCATCTCGCACTTCTTGCTTGTTTTGCTTCAAGGCCAAGTAAGAAAGTCTAAAACCCCCCCATGTAAGTAATTAGTTTTCGCATGTCCGCTTTTCTGGAAGCATGCTCAATCCCATGTAAAACGATAAGGAATAAAAATAACGGTAACCCGCGATGACTCTTGTGGAAAACCCTTGACATGCGAGAAATGGTGTGAAGATGTGTGAAGAAAAAACTTGAAGATTCGTGCGCACACACAAACAGAAAACCTACTACTGTTCCAAATTGCCAGGGTCAATGCGTAACTGCTCTTGGTGGGCATGTGCTTGGACAGAGCCTTGTGCTACAGTGCTACAGCATTGTTGTGCCACAACTTGCACTAGTAATGAAACGATAGCAAAAACGATAACACAGTGAACCTAAAACACCTTTCCGTAGGCAGGCCACCACATGGGCGTAGTTGGAATGAAGTGTGCCTAATGTATTCATGCCCGCAAGAACCCACACACCACATTTGCTGCAGTTAGTCAAAGTGCTGTAAAACGATAAGGAATAATAAAAAAGCGATAATGCCAAAAGTTGTATATAGGGAAAGATAGAGGTGTTTTCACACCACCTCAAGTGGTCGCATCGAGGGGGTGGGGGTTATCCCTTGCATCGAGATAAGATAACTCGGCAAGAAAGAAACTGCAAGCTGACCTACCACAAGAACTGTCCAGAGTCCAAACCCTACATGCCTCACTCTAGCTTAAGGAGACCGTTGCCTTCAACCCGGAGAGGTGCTAATGACGCTGCTTTAGCCCTTTTGCACTGTTAGCAAAACTAAAGATTGCGCAATGCGTGTCCTGTTTCGTCTTTTGATCTCGTCTTTGGATTTTCTTTGAAATGCCCTCCGCCACGGAGACTAACAAACCACAACGTGCAGGCAGAGGAGATGGAACAATCTGTGTTTATGTCACTTCGATGTGGGGAGATGTTTAAGTTTTATGTCCTTTCTCGTTCCCTTTCGCTTTTTGCCCGGAGTGCCGAATTCAATAGCGAGGAAAAAGTAAAGATGACGTATATAGCCGATCTCCCTACTGTATTTTGTTGGTCGAGTTGCAACAACAATTTTCCACACGGTGCAGACAGTTACCGTACATAGACTCTTTTGGATTCTTTTGGTGCCGGTTTCCACGTCAACCGCCCAGCATTCTACCATTGGCAATCTTGGACACAAAGCCCACATACGGAGCACATGTCTAAGTGTTTAACCAAATGCAACTTGTGCTGCTGAGATTCCATTGGGGTGGTTCTTGCATGAACCTGCTGCTTTCTGAAAGTAGGCCTAGGTGCAGATGGCGCATATTGCCAGCAAGCTTCCGCGGTCGGCAGGCGCAATTCCATCCCATCATATGCCCACTGCCGACATTCCGTTGTCACTTGCTGACTTGCTTTATTCATTCATCTCACCCTCCTTGTCACGACGGCTCATCCAGCTTACTGCCGGTGTCTCGATTCCAACGGGAAACATCCCGAAGCCGAAAAGAATGCGGATCGACAAGACATAAAAAAGCCACAAAGCTATCAGCGAATCGGCGTCCCCAAGACCGTCCTGCGATCCTGATAGGATGCGGTGACCTCCTTCATAGTCCTCAGAATCGTACTCAGTCACTCATGTCAGAATCGGACATTTATGCATTCTCTAAACAAGGAGTGCCAGGTACTAGAGGACATTTTACGATCGCAAGATCTCGCACGGCCTCACGTGGACTTTACCAGGGTGAAGGTAGAATTTAGAACAGACCTGGCAAGTCCTGCCCCACCCCAGGGCAAATTTTAAACAGACCCTACACATCCGTAGTGAGCCAACCAAGGATAAATGCTAGAGCAGGAGCAAACCATTCCAACCACCATGCACGCCCTCTTGTGAACCACCTGGCCATACGAGCCTTTCAGTTCTGATTTTGCACAACTTCATTTCTGGCCCACCCAGAAGAGATCAGAAGAGTTTATTTAAACACGTCTATACCAAACCTTACAGACCCTGCTTTGGGCTGTTCCAGTGCAAAATTGAAAGCAGTAATAGAGTTACTGTAGTCCAATCTCAAGTGCCCATTTGTGGGCCAAGTGCAGGTTTAATTTCGAGCAGTGAGCAGGATGGATGCCTTGCGCACCTTTATGTGCATCAAGCGAGAGTCTTTCAGACTTTACCCTTTTGGTGAGCCCACTATACAATGCCTTTTGAAACTTTTGGACCCTCATTTATGGAGAGTGATTTGTTCAGCAGATTTTCCTGAACCTTTGACAGCATTTTCTAGAGTCTATAGAGACGATGTTTTTTATTTGTTTTGGTAGCATTTCTTAGCATGTCTTGTGAACCCTGCTGCCAAGACCTTTAAAGAGGAGCGGGTGTTCTGAGAGCGTTTTTATTTGGCAAAGCATTTGATAGAGAATTTACGGATGGACGGTGGACATGTGTGACAGCATTCGGTTACCACAGAGGGGTCGTCCGACCCACTCTCTAATGAAACCACTAGAAAAGGGGAGCTTGGTTTTCCACAGGCTCCTTGAAGCCATTTGGTTTTTCAACCCTTTTGTTGTTTGACAAAATTCAACAAGAGAAAGGACCGTGCAAGGAAGCAACCAGTGTGAAGCAATATGGGGCGGCTTTCCCACCGAGCCACCGCTCGCTTCAATGATCCAAGGAACTCCGTTTAATAGGAAAAAAACGTCGGTGTAAGTATGGTAGATAAGGAATAGATGAACTCCATAGAAAAAAGTAGATAAGGTATGGTAGGTTGTTTTTAAAAAGATGTGTTTTGCGTTGTGTGTTTGCGTTTGTTCCCACAACGGGTGTCGTTTAAGGAATCGTGCAAAGGTATTGCCTTGGCTCGGGTTCTGGGTCAGTTCTTGCAGGTGACTTTAGTTTCCCCCAGTTGTAGCAATAGAGACAGAGACACAGGGCAATCCCCAAGGGGACGAGGGACAACTTCAGAAAAAAATACATTACTTCGAGTGACCCCACCATGACATTTCAATCTTACAAATTTCCTGGCATGTATTAACACATGATTTGGCATTCTTTCTGGAAGGTTTTCTGACATGTTTTCTGACATTTTTTCTGGCATATCTTCTGACATTCTTTCTGGTATATATCTTTTGACATTCTTTCTGGCGTATCTTCTGACATGATTCTCTCTGGCATATATATCTTCTTACATTCATTCTGACATTCTTTCCGGCATTCTTTCTGGCGTTCTATCTGGCATATCTTCTGACTCGCGGTTGAGGTCCAGCGGGAAACACTGCTAGCCGAAGCTCGCAGTTGAGTTCCTGCGGGGAACACTGCCGCACGACCCTCGCAGTTGAGGTCCGGCAGGGAACACTGCCAGCCGAAGCTCGAGGTTGAGGTCCGGCAGGGAACACTGCCAGCCGAAACTCGCGGGCTGGCTGAGGCCCGGCGGGGAACATTACCAGCCAAGGATCGCGGTTGAGGACGGCACGGAGGACGAGGAGGAGGACGAGGCGGAGGAGGAGGACGACGACGGCAGCTGACAGCGGACAAATTCTATACAACAACCTACACCTGAAAGGTGGAGAATAACAAACTATGTCTATATGGCTATATGGCACTTCGCTCTCGTCATAGCGATGCTTTTTTTGGTATATTGATGTATTTGACGTGTCTCTTCCATATCTGATCCAACTTCAATTTGGTGAAGATATGCTTTCCACTTCATTTATGTTGCTTCATTCATACGGTTGTGCTTATTTTGCTTCATTCATACGGCTGTGCTTTTTATGGACATAGACGGTTTCTTTTTAAAAGTCCGGTTATATCAACTTATAGATCTTATAGAAGCTTCACATGTTCATCCCTCAAGTGATCTCTTACTACTGCTGGATCTGACTTGGCGCTTTATAAATCATTTTGGCCACTAATTGTTACAGATTTGCTATCTCTTGCAACCCACTCTATAGACACAATTTCTTTATAGTATGGCCGGTAAATGATCCCAGCGGTAAAGCATGGATGATCTCACACCCCTTGGTAGGGTGCCCCAAGGAAAGATACCACCAGTTCAGGATTTTCTAAAGGATCGATCACCTGACACAGTGTTTGGGTCTTGTATGTATACCTGTGTATACATATAATATATTATCTCATATTTGTATGTTAGTTTATTTTGATCCCTCACCTTTGCCTCTGACACCCTTGTGTTGGATGCCGCATGGAAAGCAGAGAGGGTGTTGATTTTTTTTTCATCCAACATTCATCAAAAGGAATTGTGTTGCAAATGTCAAGGTGCTTGTTCATTAAGGGTCGAACGAACAAAACACGGTAGTCGAGTAGTCGAGCAGCGTTTCAACCTGTTTTATTCCAATATGTTTCAACATGTTTCAACTCTCAATGTACGTGTGGCATTGTCCATTCCGTGGCCTTCCATTTTTTCTGGCTGAGTCTCATGAAACCCCGAAGATTGCGGTGGCACCGAATTCCCGTGTGGGTGGGCCAGCGCAGGAGTCACACTTGGTTCAGAATGTTCACATGATTCTTTGTTGTTTGTTGCCGCACATCGTTGCATTTTGGTACATTCGTCGCTTCAAAGTATTGTGTCCAGTTTTGAAGCCAATATATAACCCTCAATTGTGTAATGTGACTTGTTGTCCCCGCTGCCATGGGGGATCAAGAAAGCAAGAAGCTATTGAAGACTCGAGTTGGTCAAAGAGAGTCTCTCTGGCACTGTGCTGGGAGCTCCATTCAACCACAACATGCACAAGAAGAAACAATTTGGGGGTGAGCTTCTGAATTTCTCGCTCCAAGGATCATATCGGTGAGACTTGTAGATACTGTATACGTATATAGATAGATATACACAGAAAATGTGCATGATCGAATTGTCAGAGCACCCAGGTCTTTCCAAGAGGTGCAGTCTGTTTGATAGCCATGTCGCATCTGCCTGAGACATATGGGTATCCTGTGGTGTCAGTGTCTTGTCACGGCTTAGTGTGGTAGACACTGAATCCTGGTCCAGCTTTGATGTAGACAAAGATGGAGTTACTTTTGTTCTAAGATTGTCATTGATCAAGAGGATCGATTCAATTTGTGTCCTCAGCCCACTTGAATCTTCTGCCCAAGGTTTGCCCAGATGATCCACCTTGGACCGCAGCGCCTCCTGATTGGCTCGAACAGCAGGCCTGGTTCTTGGCGGCCCTGGACAAGAAGTTCGCAGAACAGGAGAGGTGTGAGGAAAGACCACCAGTTCATTGGAAACATGCATAGCCGCATACAGTAGGGTCTGTCCTATTACCTGCAACAGTCAGCAAACAATTATATTTTTTTTGACCAAGGCCTTTACTAACCATCATCCACTGTTATAGGTAATAGGATAGACTGATAGACCCAACGCATACAGATAGACACAGAAGTAGACACGTACATAGTGTTTCGAGATACAATTGCATATATGGGAGTTGATCTAAAGGGGGTTTTGCGCAACACGACCATGTGGGTGCTGTCCAAACCATCCGCGAACGATTTGCAGTGAGGTTTGCAAAAGTCATTTTTCAATTTTGTCTCCCGTTGTAGAATTACAAGAAATTCATCGGGCAAAACCGATGGGTGGTGGATGTGCTGCAGTGACAGTGTGTGAAGGATTCTCTGATTCCTTTCCCCACTCACTGACCAACAAAATGAGGACTCAATCACGAAAGCCAGCCGGTAGGCAAGGCTTGAGTTCTTAGGGTGAACGAAGTGAACATTGGGGGGGGGGGGGGGGGGGGTGTCGCTTGGAGGTCGAACCCTGCTGGTGGAGGAGAGCGAAAAAAAAGTGTGGTCAGGAAAGCATCAAAAAAGCGGTTTGGTGATGCAAGTGATGTAAATGACGCCGAGTAGTGCATCATTAGCATCACGAAGGGGTCTGGAGATCATATTTCTTTGCTTTCTGGAGCGTCATTAGCAGAAAGGTCGGGTGGAACGTCAGAAGGTTTGCCAGACACAATGTCAGAAGCTTTGCCAGATAAAATGTCAGAAGATAGTCCTGGTGGGGATCATTCGAATTGGGGATCACTCGAAGTGTCAGAAGCTACTCATGATGGGGATCACTCGAAGTAAGTCCGTGATTTTTTTTTGTAGAGCTTTCTTCTTGTACTTTGATCTTTGAGAACAAAAAAGTCGAAAGGGTTGGACACCACGGAGGGAGCCCACGCACGACTAACCACCTCCAGAAGAGAATGTCAGAGGATTAGGCAGATAAACTGTCAGAAGATAGTCATGGTGGGGACCACAGGAAATGTTAGAAGATAGTCATGGTGGGGATCACTCGAAATAACTAAGTGGTTCTCTTCTGTGGCCATGTGTGGAAGACTTCAACACGATGCCCGAAATATCGCCGACCACCGCGAAAAACACATACTTTGGGCATCGCTGTTTTTGTCGTGTTGGCTCACGTATTGTTACTTCTCAGTTCCTTGCACCTTCACCCGGACAATTGGTGGGGATCATTGGAAATGTCAGCAGATAGTCATGGTGGGGATCACTCGAAATAGCTACAGTAAGTGATCTTTTTCTGTGGCCATGGTGAAGATAGTCATGGCTTTCGTCCTCTCCTTTCTCAGGTTATTCCTTGCACGGCTCTGACGCCTGCAACCTTGACAGATGTTTTTAAAGGGTCATTGTGGGGCAAATCAGTGAATTGTCGCGCAAGTTTCACAAATTTGCCATAAAGTTCCGGTCACCACTAGCTGTAGCAGCCTTCAAGATTGTGTGCCAATCATGTTGCAATATGATAGTCGCTAGGTGGTGTTATGTTTTTACATTTCGAAGACATGAGAAATTACACATTCATGTTCTTAGCGACGATTTTTTTCGCGAAGAACTACCATTCCATCTTGAAAGAAGATTGGTCAAACACTATAAATGTATATAAATGTATGACTTGACATTATGATGCATATGCGCACATATGCATTTATATACATACTATGGACATGAAAATGCAGGAAGAGTCAGACAGTCAAGCCTGTTGCAAGACCACGTGGACCGCACAAAAGGGGATGGACATTCTTTGCACCGTTTAATTACTATTCTGTTTGGCCATTTGGCTGCTGATCGTTGAATGGACGGATCAACAGATGGTCGCAACGCATTTGTTAATATGGGCATGGCATGGTCAAGGCAAGAGAGGTTGGGAGCTTGTGCAAAGTATACTAGCTGGTTTGTACTGAAGCAGACTGAAGCATGAGCAGATGTCCTGATTGCACAGCCTGCAATGCAATTATACAGTACAGTAAATGAATACTGGGTTGACTAGACAGCAAGACAAAAACATCATTTATAGGTTCTTTGATGCCAGGCAGCTGAGCTGATGGAACAACACATATATTGTAATCATATTGCATGTGTATCGAGCTGGTTTTAATCAGTTAGCCAAAGGGGACAGGTTGGAAATTGGACCAGACAGATTCCTAGTAGTAGTCGCTGGAAATTGTAGTAGCATGTAATGTTTTTAAAACTTGTCACTACACGACAAAGATTACTATTACGACTGCTGCTACTTGTAGCCCTGGTAGCTGGAGTTGCTGTTCATAGGAACCTAAAACAGTTTAGAAGCTAAAACTGGACTGGAACTTTCTAAGGTTGGTTTTTGCTCCCCAGAACCGATAGAAACTATCGTTGTTTGACTCCTCCCCCGGAAAATGCTACTCGGGAAACCAACCACCTGTCCAACCTTCAACCATATCCTTGACCTTGCCCCCCAGGTCCATGCAACATGCGACAACTAGCTTGGGCGGCTGCTTTAGAACTTTTGTTTTTCTGCCATTCAACAGCAAGCAGTGACAACAAGAACACTACTTTTTGCACTGTTCCAAGCCCACCCCCAGCACCGATCGAATGCCTTCAGGCCCTCGATGTGGAGAAACTGATTCGGGAACTGCTCAGTGGCGTCGGTGGTCAACGGCGGCCACCCCCGATGGAACCGTTGTCCTTTGTCTCGGAGCCGCCATCTTGGACGATGTTCCAGGATACATCCGATACTTTGGCACAAGCTGACGCCGCAGAAGCGCCAAAGAAGAAGCCATCAGTCCAAGCATTGAAAGCCTTGGGGGCCAAGGTCATGAGCGAGAAATGGGAGCCCGATCCCCCACTGAAAGCTTTTGTGAAAGGGAACCTGGACATGTTGATTGGTGTAGTGGTTTTGATCAATGTGATCATGATGATCATTCATTCTCAATGGGTCGCTTGGAAGTCTGAAGTGGAGCTGAACTTGATCGAGCCTTCAGATTCCATGTTCTCCCCGCAGACCTTTGATGTGATTGAGTATATCTTCTTCAGCATCTACTGTTCGGATATGCTCGTGCGAATGATTGTGCTTCGAAAGGAGTGGTATTTCGACCCCCCAAGTAGGTACTATGTACCTGAATATCTTTGATGCTTTTCTGGTCATTGTGAACTTCATCGAGCTCTTTGTGATTCCGTTGATGGATCCTGAGGGCACGGATGTGAATACCAATCACATCCGCCTGATCAAGTTCACACGAGTGGCGCGCACCTTGCGGATGGTCAGGAGCCTGTCAATTCTTCGGCAGTTGAGGGCACTAATGACGACAATCGTTGCCAGCCTTGGAGCTCTCTTTTGGTCCTTGGTATTTCTGTTGCTCATGAAGGTAATGTTTGCGCTGGTTATAAGCCAGGCCATGCAGGTCTATGTGATGAGCGATGCGGACTTTGACGTCCGGATATTGATGAATAGTCGGTATGGAAGCTTCCTCAGGGCAATGTATACCATGTTCGAGATCACCTACTCAGGACAGAACCGATCACTTCAATCAACTTGACTGACTTGACTTAGCGCCAGAGACCTTTGTTGCAGTGAGAGTTCTTCAAGGAAGCTTTGCCAACCCAAGTTCCCTAACTCACTCCCTGTCCTCCCTCCCTCCCTCCCTCCCTCCCTCCAGCCAGCCAGCCAGCCAGCCAGCCAGCCAGCCAGCCATCCATCCATCCATCCATCCATCCATCCATCCATCCATCCATCCA